TTCAGTATTTTCTCATCCCTCCTTCCTCCCTTTTACTGCTTCTGACAGATTTTTCCTTATTTCTCCATCTTTGTTCCTTGATGTGCTGATACGAGGTGCGGTAACTTGAACGGTTAAACAGTAATGCTTGGTCCTATGTTAATATTGATGATGAGTCGTGTCAGGAGCCATTTGTTCCTAAAATAACTCGAAAGCGATTTCCTTGACGCTGAATCTTGAAGAAACTGAACTTTTCCAGTTTTGTTTAAATACAAAATTATAATGATAATGACCGTTAGCAGAGTTAGTAGGATGTGTGAATAAGATTGTAGTCAACTATATTTTTTCAAGTGGATATACAGGGTTAACTGACGTCTTTTAAACATTGTATTTATGCTGACTATATTGGCATTGATTATAAAAGGAAATGCTTTCAGTAACCTATCTGTATGTTCGTGCAGTAGGCAATGGGCTACACGTCTTGTATGAAGGCTATTGATACTACCTGGCTGCGCAAACCTTGGTAGATGGGGCTAAGCTCGAACATGTGACCCATTGGATCAAAGGCAGTTGACTAAACTAATGAGCCACAGCTCTATGTTAATTTGAAACAAGCAGGAAGTGTGGAGGGAAAAAGATGTAAGAACTTCCCTCCATTTGTGTTTGATAAAACTGTGACATTTTCGAATAGATAGTAAAATCAAAGGCCTTTCTTTAAGTAGTACTGATTCATCCTTAAAGTCTTGATGAGAGGAGGATTATTTTATAAGAATAGCAGTGATACACTTGAGATTGAATCATATCAAAACGCTGATTGTCAATGAAATTTAACCTAGTAACTTTGCGTTTGACTTTATATCTGTCTCACTGCCTAGAAACTAAGCTGTTTACCCTGTTTGTTTTTCAAGGGCATATTGGACTTGGTTGACCAAAACCTTTCAACTGAGGTTATTTATTTTCACTTCATGTCCACGTAGCAATATGTTTTGAAATAAGACAAAGGGGGCAACAAAGCAAACACCTGTACTGTGAACTGAACCTCAAGCTGGTGTTGTTTATCTCTGAATTTTCGTTTCCATAGTTTTCTTTGATATCAATTATTTATATTAAAATCGGAGTGACCGGAAACATTTTGTGTACAATAGCTAGTTCTGTGGGCTGAAAGAAAGAAAAGAAAGAAAGAAAGGCGATGAAGAAAAGACGAGCTAATTCAGTGTAGAAAATTTTCTTCTTCGACAATGTCATTTCCTAAAGCTGTACAGTCCTATTTATATATGTCACAAACATATAACAGTCTATTATTAAACAATAGGGCAAAGCTACTTCATTAGACCAGTTGGTATTAAAAACTGAAGTCAAGAATGAAACGTGGTTGCGTAGTAATCCCTGAGACGATGGCAATAATGAGAAAGGTGAGGAGATTGAGAAGATTAAAAGTGTTGGGAGATGTGAAACTTGGAGACTGAGTGTCTACTTGACAGATATAGAGGTGTAGAAAGTAAAAGGGTCATAATGGTGGTAATAAGTAAACTAACTACATAGGTCAAGTAATTCGACCCGTATAGCAACAGTAGATTACCAGTATCAAACTACAACTGATCCCCGTTGCAAAATAGATCTTGGTCTCGCTTGAACGGTGTGGTGGGTAACGCTTGGGCGTTTGATGTGATAGGCTATGGGCTTGAGTCCCAGCGGGAATAACATCACTCACAGGTTTGGAGGTACACCCAACTGAAGAGTCTAGAACATGACAAAACGTGCCTCCGGCATTCCACTGCTAACCATAAAGCAGGCATTAAGGTAAACTAACTAATTATAATGAAGTCAAAAAATTGCGAAGGTATTAGGACAACCAACTCAAGCCTTGTCTCTGCATGCAGAAGAAGTATGTTTCAACTTGCCTTGGAAATATCACTTTGACAATTTCATGATTTCATCAGAATAAGCTGGTTTTCTTATTATCTGTCTGTCAAACGGACACAACCTCCACGTTTCGCATCTCCTAACACTTTTAACCTTCTCAACCTCCTCACCTTTCTCATTATTGCCATCGTCTCAGAGATTAATACGCAATCACGCTTCATTCTTGACTTCAGTTTTTAATACCAACTGCCCTGTTGTTTAATAATAGACTGTTATATGCTTGTGACATACATGTAAACAGGACTGTACAGCTTTACAAAACGACACTGTCGAAGAAGAAAATTTTCTTCACTGAATTATCTCATCTTTTTTTAATGATTCGATGGGATGTTTCGTCATTCGAAGTTGAGAAAAGCAATACTGGTCTAAATTATTAGATTATGAATCTCTGTAATGAAGCAAGCTTCCTTCAGGTTGCAGAGACGTTCAGTTTGCTGACTGTGCACTGTAAATGTATCTGAATCAGCTTACTGGTCATATTTCAAAATTAGTCGACAGACCTAGATGATCACTTGACAAATAGGACTTAACACCTACACAGGTTATCAGCCAGTAATCGATTCGTACACAGGGGAAAGTAAAATAGGATTTCGCTCTAATCAACTTCGTGGTCATAATGATACCCTTGTTTGATAGACACCGATAAAAAATTGATTACTACTAGATGACCAGTTTGTAAGCTTGTGTGTACAATTTCATGTTCGTATGGTGACTAAACTAGGATGGATTATTTAAACTAAAGGTAATACGCGCATACCCAGTTAGGCTCAGAAACCTGATAACAATCTGGTTACACTAGTTATAAGTTTGCTGTTAGTTGACGATTATGAAGGACTCATTGCACCCACTTAGTATCTCGTTTCATTTATCTATTTCCAACAGTCAATTTTAGATGTTGACAAACTTTTTGTTAACATATGCTTCAGAGATAATTTTCGAAATTGGATTCAAGTAATAAGGATGAACGTTTTTTGCAAAATATATTTCAATCAGTCAGCCAATCACTGTTAACACGCAACATAGCAGTACTGTAAAGTGGTCTTAGTTACCACATCTCGTATCAGCACAACAACTGAGAAGGTACCAAGGTAAAAGGTAGCGAAATAAGGAGGAAAGTAGTCAAAGATGGTAGAAGATCTTGTAAAGAGGACAAACAGGAAGAAAATTGGTGAAACTCAGTATAAAAACTAAGATGACTATAATGTATGAATGTATCTACACCACTTAGATGGATTATGATTCATATCATGTAGAGTCTCCAACGGCCGATACTTGTTGGTAGTCTGCATTTCTGTATACGCTGATACCAACAATCAATGACTCCATGAATTAATGCTATATCTTAGTTTCCCCACCTTTACCCTTTTCCCAGCCTAAAACTAATTCAAATAATGTTGCGCGACATAGCAAAAAGTGACTGAACACACGTAACATCTGTCTGAGTCAATGAAGTTTCGCAACCACATAAAGCGACTGACTTTTCCTGCTCAAGGCTCTGCCCCTGACGTCTACGTTACTGATGTAGTGACAGTACGATATACGGCCTATCCTGTGAACACCTCAGATCCTCTACATTAAATGACCATGTTTCACAGCTTTATAGTACAACAAAGTGACCTGCAACACAGTACATGCGCTCGGGATATCACGGAGGCACCATAAATGGTGTAGGGTTATCTAAGTCCAGTCGTGTTTTTTGTATCCTTATCGAGCTTTCTTCAATCACTGATTCACTAGGGATAGTCCGACTCTTACCAAGTAAGTAAAGTAATCAATGCACCCAACCACTTTAACCTCTACTGTTAACCAGAGTGTCAGGGAAGACAAGTCTAGTAGCAAGCATTTTGCATTTGAGTGGAGGGAAATGCATTCCAAACATTCTCGAATTGAAAAAGTATCTACAGAACTCTGCATAAAAACTACTGATCTAAACAAGGCCTCCAAAGGTATATAAGAAGATAATCTTAATCATCCTCAATTTTACACTTAAACGAAATTCTAAAATCTATGTTAGAAAACGCCTGTCAAGCAATGCAGTTTTGCCAGCAGGGATGTGATCAAATGATGACTGAAATAATTCAGCATCAGTCGTTGCACTTAATGTTCGAGCCATGCACTGTTCACTCAATGTCTAACAGTCAGAGGGTATAGTTAGCACTAAAGCGAAACGCGTAACTTCTCTTTTAGCAGATAAAATTATAAGTGATTGGTGAATTGTATAGCGTCATGTTATTGTCGACTTATGACCTCACTGGTTACTAAGGCTTAGTCAAGGCTGCTGAAAAACTGCATAATCCTCAAGTATATAGCAGAAATCAAGTTTGAAACGAATGAGGAGGAATAACTTCAAATGACTGACCTTTTGTTAGGTGACTTTTGGATAGAGGTGTTAAAGTGCTATCATTTATTGATATTTGTAGTTTCCCGTTGTCATTCTGGATTGAACTGATTGACCTCTGTTGACATATGGGCTTTCACGAGGATAACTTGACACTACCTGGTTATTCTTTAGGTTGAAATTTGTTTGGTGGTGACTAGCAGCGTAGTCCATGACGCGTATTTCGTCATATTTAGGACTCCTCAACCGGATGTACCTGCGTCTTAGTGGATGATGTTGTTCCAACTGAGACAAAAAGCCTGCACCCATCGCTTTAAACACCGAACGGTTATCTTCTGGGTCACTGAGGCATGAAATTCATCTCTTGTGCAACACATATCATATATTGGGAATTATTGATACCCGTAATTTCTCGTTGTTATTCTGGATGGGGAAGGTCTACCTCCTCTCTCTTTTCGTCTTATTGATAGTTTGCCATGCTAGTAATTTTGTTTGAATTACGCAGGCAGGCAGTAAAATTAGCGACTACATAGAGACGTAAGTTACTTGCTAATCTGTCTAATTGTTCTTAGTTCGTGAGCTGTGCAGAATCATTTCACTTAGATAAATGAATTTATGTAGCAACCAGGGTTGATTAGGTCAAGTAACTCTCAGATAAATATCTTGAGTGACCCTGTTTTCCCTCTTGTTCCTTTTCCTTCTTCTCGATTCATTACGTCACCGTGTTTTGTTTGTTTGTATTGTGGAACTATCACGCCAGTATACGCAAACGTCAAGCACAGAGTTCAAGGCAAAAGAGGTAAGTCAGTCGATGGAATTACAGACCATCAATCAAGATGTTATTCCCACCTTATTCTCGTATGCCTTGTCATGTAATGTTAGCCAAATTAAGATTGAGCTGGATAAAGTTTGGAGGAGACCAGAATAAAACTGGTCTTCGGTCTCTGACTATTGGTTTGGGGCGCTTAGGGAAGGTAGACTTCCATGTGATAACCGAGATGAGTTGTTTGGGACTCTCGGTGATATGGCTTAGATTTGATCTGAGTTGCACAGATGTATTCATACAAACTGGTGTTTTACTTTACTCATCTCCTCATATAATGACGTCCTACCAGTTTTGATTGCTTTCTTCTTTATCTCTCTGGCCTCAATCTTTAAACCTTCTATTTTATTGTGCTGCTGGAATGTACCTCTTAAATTAGCCAGTTAGTTTGCAAGGAACATACTGCTCAAGACATGATGATGTCTATTTGTGTACTTTATTAGATAACTTACCTCATCTCATCTCTTCATCTTGTTTCCCTAGAACAAATTAAATAGGGCATACAATTAGTTAGGTGCGTCTCCAGACACGAGAGCAGTTAACGGCTTTGTTTGGAAAAAGTGAAGTAAGAGTGATGAAAAGTTTTATCCTATCACATTAGTAAACAAAGAACATTACATAGATCCTTATAAAGCCTTTAATATCATACATCATGTGTTAAAAACAATGTCACATATCACCCATCAACACCTGCTCAACATAACTTGGGTTATCGCAATAAGATTGATCAAACCTGGAATTTGCATTCACAAATAACATATTCAAACATTATTACTTCCTTAGCCTTCAATAAACTAAGGGTAGCTCCTGTCTAAAGAACCTGATAAGAAATTATTGAAAATAATACTTTTAGGTGAGACTGCTTTTTATTAGTTTTGAAAATCTTTGAATGTTCGATATATTCATCGTTGGACCTAAACTTACATCAACATACTAGCCAACAGAAGCTATTCATTAACATGAAACAAGTAGTACGCTGACAGTTGTGAGTCGAAGTGGAATGCCGAAAAAGCTATAAGAATGCCAGTGTGACTAGCGGTCTCTTATATTTACCGGAGTAATTAAAAACATTTCCAGAAATGACAAAGAGAAAGTTTATATAAATAGTTAAGTACCTCTCACTTCATACATTGGACTTGAAACCTCTGTGTATTGCTAATACAAGTAATAATTTTCCGAACAGAAAACCTAGTTTTAAGCCATTCTTAGTCTAAATGGGGTTGGGGCACAACTCACTGTTGCTACAGCCGTACTTTGGTTACTACAAGTGGATGTAACTCAGGAACCCAGTAAGGCTGGCATCGGAGAGGCTTCACATGGGTTGAACACATGCATATCAAGCCAGTATCTTCCTCGAACACAGATGGTAAGGGAAGTAAGATTAGGTTGGAAAAACTTTAAAAGTCACCTGGTCAAGACACGGAACTAGTCCGTGAAATCTGTAACTGTTAACCTGATTTATGTGATGTAATGTAACCCGTTTCGTTGAAAACTTTCAGTCAGACACTGCATAGTTGATCGTGACTGTAGAAGTGCATACACTCTACATAACTTTTGAAATCTTGAAGATTTTACTAACATCTTTTTATGCCATCGCCTGTTATACAATTTGATCACTACAATACCATTCTTTCTCTGTCCATTTCTATTTTCTTTGTCGTTAGGAGGTATGTTAATTTGAAGTAATGCACACGTGTGATTGGTTCCACGCTGATATACCCGTTTATGGGCTGCATTCATTGTGTATAAGTTAATGATATTATCTTACTGTCTCCCATGAAGTTGGGGGATAAACATGCATACATTTTAAGCAGGTTAAAACTTGCGTTGATCTTCCAGTTCTTCGGAAGATGTACTTCACTGATCACGGTGTGTAGATTTAGCCACAAAGGCTACGTATATAAAGACCCTTTTAAATGGATGAATCCGTATGTATACCAAAAGGGTTGGTGTCAGCTTTCTTAGTTTGGTTTTGATCCCACTTAGTCTTATCCAGCTTGGGTAACATGTTAACCCTTCAGTTGCCATTAACCTAGTCCAGGATACTCACCATATGTCGTCACTGGAATTATAAAAAGTTGACAATACAGCTGTTAACTGGATTTCATCATCATTCTTAAATTATTTTTACCAAATTCCGATATCCATCTCTTATTTTATGGTCAATCTGAAAAGGTTTGTTAAAGTTTACACGCTATTAAAACATGGGCACTGTGGTTAATTGTAATTCAATTCTTGTTCATTATTTAGTTATGTCATACAGTGGAACTATATTATTTACTGAATAGCGTTTCTCCATAAGCATATCCGGTAATTTCATAATTTTGAGACATGGTTTATATAGTTCGGATCTTTTCTTCTTTGTGATAAGAGTAGTAGAATTTTCCATATGTCTGGGACAGCTGCAAAATCATTTCTGTTACATGTATTTGGTGTTGATACGATAAACAAAAATTTCGTTGTCAATATCTCCACCCAACTTAGTTAGTTTACAACACTGTACGTCAATCCTGCCGTATTGTGTGGTTGTGTGTAATTGCGTGTATAGCTATGGTTGAGTTTTCCTCTATTTTATTAGGATCTACCAATCTCGATTCAGCTAGGTTTTTGTGCTCTGTTATTCTAATTGACCCTGGTTGACTACTTGATCTATGTATGTGACCTCACAGTCATTACGAGGGATTTGGTAAACTAAGTTATTTTGCCCAATCGGATCACTAGAACCTTTCAACTTAAAAGCTTATTTCTAAACGAGTTTGTTGGTTTAAATGCTTTGTAATCTCAGCCTTATTGAGAATTCATCGTAAACCTTATGAGGCATCTTCTTTGTATGGTAATACAGTAAAGACTTTGAATTCTCTCTCAACCCTGTCACCATTGTGATTATCGTTGACAGAACAACTATTAATAGCACCCGTGTTACTACTGCTACTCGTACTTTTCTTACGATTTCTCATGAGTTTACGGATAAATTTGCGTGGGAAGTTATTGCTATGCAAGGCATTCTTGGTGTGTCTGATTTCTTGTTTCAGATCCTGTGTCCTACTAGTAAGGCTTCTCGCCCTGTTACTTAAGCATTTAACTGTGCTTTCTTCAACTGAGATAAGGTGCGATAATTTGAAGTCTAAGTAGCGATTCCAATTGAAAGGTTTCTCTTAGACGAAGGTTTCTAAACTTCTATCTCGTTTTCTTTTTATCTTGCACTTCAGCATTGCTAACTCACCAACACTTTCTAAGTCGCAGGTAAATTGTAATGTGTCAAGAATCTAGTTGTGCAATTCCATATTAGATTTGTTTATTTGATATATGGCGTACAGTGATACAATATTATTTACTTGATTACGTTTCGAGCATAAATTATTGCTCATAATCATACCAATGTGATTATGATTGTGAGAAATAATTTATGCTCGAAACGTAATCAAGTAAATAATACTGTATCACTGTACGCCATATATCAAATAAACAAATCTAATATGGAATTACATTCTACCACAGTGCCCAAGTTTTTCACTTAAATCTAGTTATGCGTTCAGATTTCAGTACTGTAAATGTATCATCCACATATCGGGACCATGTCTTTGAAGTAGGAATGAGTGTTTGAAGGGCCATCCGTCCCCAAATATCCGTAAATGTGTCTACGGTGATAGGGGATATTAGTGATCCTATGACAACCTCTTCAGTTTGTTTATTTACTTTATTTTGAAACTTAAAAACTGTAGACGTCAGGCACAATTGTACTCCTTTATCAGCACCTAGTTCGATGGGTAAGTTAATTATCATTCATAAGCCTATTAGTAACTGCCTTCAGAGTCATGTCGATCGGTATACTCGTGCATAAGCTACTTATAGCTGAACTAAACATTTTTTTTACTGTTATTAACTCATATATCACATAATCTGTGCTTTAAGTCATAGGTTAGTGAGTCGAGATTTTGAGTGGTTTTTAATTGGGCCTAGTACCATTGCTAAATATGAAAATAACTCATAAAATGGAATATTCCAAAAATCTACTATAAATCTAATGGAATAACTAGGCTTATTAATCTTAGTGGTGCCATAACTTCTACTGGGATTATCAGTTTTTGAGTCAACTAAAAACGGCTTCATCCGACGTATCAGGTCCCCTGTTAATTTCTTAACCTAATTCATAGTAGTATTCACTGATTTCTTAATTTCCTCATATGGTCCTCTTTCTGTATACTCATCCATTTTGCAGATTTAGTCAGATTTGTTCATTACAACTGTTGAGTTGCCTTCATCCAATTTAGCAATTACTACATTGTTATAATTTTGAAGGTTCCTGAGAGCATCTCTTTTTGGCTTGGGTAAATTAGGTTTCATTTTCTTCTGTTGTCTCAGTGTTAGTGCGCACTGTTCTCTTACTTCATTTTCGGTTGTTTTATCTACTGAATTTAACAGTATTTCTATTTTGATAATGACGTCTTTTGGTTTCAATTTATTAAACGTTACACTGAAGTTAAGGCCTTTCTTTAGCACTTTTATGTGTACTGAGCGTAGGACTCTAGTTGAGAGATTGATGACTCACATTAACTTATCGATCACTGGTAATGTGGCATTGGGAATCTCATTATTGTCGACTGTATACTTTTCTTCCGTAAATTTGTTGAACTTTTTGATCTGATCATTTTTGAATTTCATGAAAGTAGGTGATCATGTTTTGTTGCAACTGTCTTTCTCACTAACTAATTGCATCGGCTTACATTTTAATTCATTAAAAATTCCCATTATGATTTGAAAGCTATTTGGATGAAGAAAGAGCATTTTTTTCGATGACTTATTCAAGTCCTACAGTTATATGTACATATTGAGTAATTATATGCTAATAATACTGAGATTTCGCTTATTGGTTTGTTAATACCACTATACATCTGAGGAAGTCAGTTGAGAAACGTTTTGTGTGAACATTAATGATAGAATAAGTTGTTACTGGGAATCAATCCAAAATATTTCAT